TTCGTTCTACCCTGACCAGCTGGCGGGTCGAACCTCCTCATTGTCAAACGCGATATGGCTGGTTGCCGACAACATGCCTGTGTAGAATAGTTGAGCTTTTTGTATCCTTGATTCTCTTCTTTCATCTTTCTTGCATCCTTGAAGAAAAGACATCAAGCTGTCGATTTCTTCGTTGTAATGATTTTCGTTGTACATGTTTCGTTGTGGTGGCCCGTGTGACCATGTCATGATTTTCTCTTCCAGGTTATTGTATGTGTCGACAAGTACTCCACAGTATTGTCGCTTCGTTAAGGTGCGATCTTGATAAGGGATGCCAAGGTTCGTAAGGAACTCTAGTGTGCTTCCTGATGGAAGTAGTGTCGCATTGATGAAGTCTTGATTGTCGAACTCTTCAATTCCTGTTGGAAGATCATTGTCTTCGTGGTCTGAATCACTTGTCGGTGTGTCCACATTCGTCTTCTGTACAATTCGTCCTGACCTCAGTTGATGTTCAGGTATTTGGGTGAGTTTATCCCACTCAAAATCCTTTTCACCACTGTTGTAGGTTTCGACTTGAAGACTGGCTAGTTCACGGTTCATGTGCCCTCTTTCTGATAGTCCTGGATCCACCGCTACTTGTTCGTCTTGTGTGATATCACTCTCTCTTACAACTGATGTCTCAGAACAGGTTCTCGTGAGATGGTTGTCAACTTCAACAGCTTGTTGCCTCACTTGGATCACCATGGGATCATTGTGTGCTATGCCATGTTGTTGATCTGCAAACGGTCGTCGATTTCTCTCTTCAGGTTGGGCGCTGGAGTTTCCACCGGCATCTTCAGATTCTGAATCTGATGCGTCTGATGTATCTGACATTTCGATCAATCGTTCACCGGCTCTTTTGAGCACAATGACGTTGTCGTCGCCAAAATCATCAGTTCCGCCGTATGGTATTTTCCAAGATCTGTCCTCCGGGTGAGAAAATCTGTAGGGGAATACTTCTTCGTTGAAACTTATATTGTTCTGTGTGACGTACAGTTGTTTCCCATTCAGTGCTGCTGCCAAATAACCTTTCATTCCTAGGTGGTGGGCGAAGCCAAGAAACACGCAAACTTCTGCTGTTGGCTCGAGTTTTTTGTCTTTCTTTTGATCTAATCTTCTGTCCTTTAGGATATGAACGTAGCAGAGGCAACCGAATGGATGGAAGTGTTCTGCGTTTGGTGATGTACCTGTAAACGCTTGGTAGCAACTGATGTTTGAGTTTCTGCTGGTAGGAAGGAATGCATTCTCGATCTCTGCGTTGTAATATATAGCGCTGAGCCAGAGATTTTTCGGAACGTTTGAGTGTACGATTGCCAATCTAGTCCTTGTATCTAACGAGTAGATTCCAGATTCAGCTCTTCCATTTTGCCAATGTTCATATGGTGCGCTTCTTTCTAGGTGGATGTTGTGCTTCTCGTACATCTTCAGTGATTTCTTTGAAACCATTTCGCTCCCATTGTCAACTCGAATCACTTTGGGGTAGACCCCATTGTTGAATCTCGTGACAACAAGTCGTAACGATTTCCTGTAACCTTTCTTGCTCGCTAAACCTACAGGCATCTTGAATCCTGAGAAGTCGTCTTTCCAGAGTTGGAGGTACCGTTTGCTCCTTCGATCGAGCGGACTCGATAGGAGCTCATATCCCCATGCAGCCTGTGAAATCTGACATCGGATCTTTTGTGTCTGAATTTTGGTAATGGAGCTGCCTTGGTTTTCGCTCTGCGGCATGTGTGACATGTCGGCAGGGGTGTTTTTGGATTGATTCTCTTCAATTCCTCCATGCCTTCGATGTTTTCTGCCAGTTGGAAAAGGTATTTCTTGCCGATGTGGTTGGTTCTTACGTGCCACTTGAGCAGAATCGCTGATGCTCTTGTTCCTTTGATGCGTTCTCCCGTTGAATATAGGTAAATATTCTTGAGATCTGATTTGTCATTCTTCAATTGTTCTTCGTATTCCTTGTCGTTTTCGTCAAGTTCTTCGATCGTTGTGTTTGTAAAGTCGTCAAAATCTGTAAATGATCTTGGATCGTTGAGATACTCCTTGGTTTGCTGTTGAATCTCTTCCGTCGTGAATTGTCTTGCAGATTCTAATGGAGTGTTGTCAGTAGTCATCAGCTCGTCATCGGAGCTGCTGCAACTGTCCAAGGTCTCTCCATTTTCACTGTCTGACTCTTCTGACGTGTCTAATTCAGGTCGTACATCTCGCATGCTGATAGGAAAGGTCTTCATGTGCGTGGGCTTGAAAGCTGTTGCCGAAGTTGTGCTCTCCCCCTGCATCGCAGCTTGGTAGATGTGGATGCTTCCCCCCCAACGAGGTACGCTCTCCAGTCTTGCGCCGTGGATGATCAGGTGGATTCTGCGTTTTGATGTACTTTGTGTATTTGTCGTTTGTGTTGACTCCTTGATTGTTGCCGTGAGTGGTATTTCGCCTTCTTGAATTTCTCTGAGAATTGTGTCTTTATCCCAGATGGTTTTTGCTGATAGCTTGGAGATTATCTTATTTGTCTTCCTGTTGGGTCTTTGGATTTCGACGTACCATAGGTAGGTGCTTGGGCAGAAGTAGAAAGGTATAAATTCATTGTTGAGTGTAATGATTCCGTGTAGTCCTCCTTCTGGTTTACCTTTGTGGATTATTGTGTGTCCACTATTTGTAATTCGCCAGATGGATAACAGGTTGATTTTAGCATTTTCGTCGCTGATTACTGTTGCTATAGTTGCAAATGCAAAACGTTTTCCTTCGATTGATGCTATCGTTCCTGCTAGAATTCCTCCGAGCGATGTATTGATCTTGCTGCCCCCCACGCCGGTGATCTCAGTTTTGTGTGTAAACGATCTCTGTAACCAACTTGGATTGCAGAGTACGCTTACCGTTGCACCTGAGTCGACAATAGCGTACAGGGACTCTTGTTGTTCTTTCGCTTTTAACGCGTGTAGGAAAACTTGATACCGATCAGTGTTCCTGATCAGTAGTCTGGGTATATGAAAGATGTATTCAAGGTACCATGGTTTTGAAACTTTTGAGAACAGAGCTGCATCAAGCTTGTGCAGTTGGATCTCGTCAGTTTTCGACCTGGTATCACTTTGATATACAACATAATTTTTAGAACAGGGATACTCCTTGGGAGATTTATTCTTTCTAGAACTGCGTCCTAGTGTGCCTCGGAACGTCTCTTTTACGACTTCTTTCAGTCGTTTCGGAGGTGTTCGAGATGAGGACGGTTCATCGGATTCGTCTTCATCACTGCTAGGTGATTCTTGAACGGATTCTTGGGTTTCGGTTTGGTCGGTAGAGGTGGCTTCTTGCAGTGCTTTTGTGAGGTTCACGAGGACCTTCTTGTCGATGCTGACTGTTTGCTTGTATTTTGACTTCGGGTATTGTCCGCTCTCCTCGTTTGAACGGTTTGGGTTCGACGAGCGATGACTCTTGGCGGTAAATTTTGCGGATCTTCCTGCCCTTGTCTGAAAACCGGTTGAAATGCTTCCTGTGATCCTCTTCATGGTTGGCGCTGTTTTATTGCCAGTGGCTCTTTCTCCGATCCTAGATGCGTCATGCTCGTTGGTAGCGTGACTGAGAGAAATCCTTGCTGGAAGTCGTTTTTCTTTGCAGATTTTGCATCCAGTAAAGTTTTCTTGTTGTTGTCTCCTGATTTTCTGTGGTGTATTGTTTTGTTTGACGGAGGCTGAAAACACGGCGTTCGCCTTTCGTTTTTGACCTGAATGATGTGCTTCTGTTGATTTCTTGCCAGAGCTTTCTTGTCCTGCTTGAAGGATAGGTATTGGGTGTTTCGTGCCTCTGGTAGTGAAGTTCATCATATGTTGATGGAATTTCAAAAAATCTTCTATCTGGGGTTCTCCCTCGTAGAAGAAGTTTTCTTCCGTTGCGTTGCGATGGATTTGAGATGTTATCCAACTGCCTAGTTCTGCTTGAACGCCCGTTTCGTCGATTGCTCTGAGGTTGTCGATAACGTCTTTGAAAGCACGGGTGTAGATGAAAGTGCAGTCTTTGCCTTGTGAAGCAAATTTCTTCAAGGTCCTAACCACATTGGGGATGTAGTCTCCGTTGTAGATTACTGCTTGCTCTAGTTCTTTGAGATTGGCAAGGGTCTGTTCAGCTTTTGTTGCTTCGGTTGGCTTGTCTAGTCTTTTAAAGTCTGTCCATGCCTTGATCCCAGCTAAGCAAAGCTTTGTAGGCGTCTCGGGGGATTTGTGTTCTTCTTCCATGTGGGCTTTCAGAATCTGAATCCTGCCAGGGCATTGCATGTAAACAGTGTGGAGGATTTGCGTCAAAGCAGCATCTGCTTCTCGTACAAATTCTCTCCTTTTCTGTCTCATGTTTTCCTGTAATTCTTCTGATTGAGTATCTCTGATGGGAAAATGACAGTCGAAGTAGGCTCTCATGTTTTCTGGATTCCCTTCAGAGTTGAGGTATGCATAGTATTGCCCTATCAACTCGAACTGTATAAAGTTCTCGATATCTGGGGCAAGTCTTTGCATATTCTCGGGTGTTACTGCTGTAATCATCGAGTCCTGAGGCTGATTGATTGGCGGCCATTGTAGACGGTATGGCGACATCTGTTCCTTTAACGCGAGGCTTTTATAACCTGATGCGGGTATAGTCCAGCAACTGAGCGATAGTGCACTTAGGAGTAGAACAGATGAACAATGAAGCTAGATTTGTTTATGTACAGCAGTAAGAGAACACACGTCAATGTTCGTGCAATCCCATTCCGATGACGTGGCCAACGTCTAAGATGGGTTGCTTATATGTCGAGGTCAGGCTTAACCCGTAATACAGCAATGAGTAAACATGTGTATCGGTTTATACCAGCCTCATGCTTTCATCATACCAATGTGTTGTACGTACGTCTACGTCCAGTACACATCTTCGATTCTAGCATTATACACCTCGCCAGCGTACGTAGCCTCTTGCGACTACTCGCATGATGCTGCCATGTCCGTTACTGACGTAACGTCATGCGGGTGCAACATCACCTTGGGCGTAGCGTAGGAAAATAGGATGACCGACGATCATCGGATGCAGATCCCTGCAGTGGTGCTGCTGATCTGATGAGAGTGTGTGCTTAATAAACAGTGATCCTAAGATCATCTGAGCTCAAGGTCTTACAGCGGTCCGACTCCGCCAGGGGCGGCCGCCGGGGGCCGGCCGCAGCCGCGCGGCCGGCCCTCAGCGGCGTTCGAGCCTGGAGCGGCGGCCTGCGGCCCGGCCAGGCAGGGGCCGTCGCCGTAGGCGGCTTTCCGGGCCACACTACTGGGCCCGGCCGCGCCGCCAGCCTCTGACCGTACGGTCCGTCCGACTCCTGCGGGAAGCCGGGCGGACCGTCGGAATCGCAGGCGGCGCGGCAGTAGTAACGTAATCCAGGGCGAGTCTCTCCCTATTGATCACCTATGCGAGTTGGTACGACTCAAAGTTAAATCTGCAGTGGTAGGTGCGTAGGAAATCAATGAGTTGAGCGATTTCCTAAAGTTGATATCTGGCAGATAACGTACCAAAGTGTCAACACGGTGTCAAACTGCTCTTCTAGTACGGGTACTTCTGAGCTTCGAAGTGCATGTGTTCATGAGGTGGGGTCATTAAACCGGGGCAAACCACCTACCCCTACTCATCCGTGTGACCTCAATCCGTATCAGGGGAATGCAAAGTAGTAAAGCGGGGTCGGAAGAGTGGGTAGGGTGGTGCCGGAATCGGCGGTGTCAAATGAGGACCAGGGTTATGATCCTCCAGGGGGTGGGTGTACGGAGTTTTGTCACAGCGGGGATGAGGGTACAGATCAAAGATGAACGGCGAGGCAATCGGTGGGGTGGACAGTTGCTCGGTTGAAGGGTAGGAGGGTGCCAAGATTTGAAGGGGAGGAACAAGAGAAACAGTGTACATGGAGTGGGGTGGTGGAACATTCCAGCGTGCCGTTTGGTCATTGCAGGGATGCCCAAGAGCTCGGAACGTGACAAGTGAATGGGCTGGAAACAAGCAGCTTTTGGCGAGGAGTCGTATGGTTGTTTTGTCCTTGTGGTATGGGTGGGGTGGTCCGAGAGGAGCAGGTGTAGTAGCAAAGTGGTGCCCGTGTGCATGGGAGGGGGGCGATCTCAGTACAAGATATATGTGGGGGCCGACTGGATGGTAGTAGGGTATGGAAACCACAAGTGTACCAGGAATGGGGGGTAGGGGTTCACTGGAGTTGATGAAATTGGGAAGGTGGTGGGGTTAAGGCTAGTACAGAAAATGTGTGACCTGTGATGAAGAGATCAGTTGTATAATACATTTATAAAGTGTACACTTTACTACGAAGATTACCCACCCCACCTCCGACCCTCCTTCATTGATCGATCTGCAGATACCTCTTGGGCTAGGTACTAATCTGCAGTTGAGCGCTGCTCACCTCGGCTTCCGCTACCGAACTGAAAGGTTTAGTCAAACTCTGTTGTGTAATATTTTTGTACAAAAATGTGCACAAAAGTTGAGCAAGTTAAATTTCCTAGGACCCTCTGATGGTGGGGAACAAGGGGGTGGTGCCTGTACTGGCACGGAACAATTATTTGACCCCCCCGTGGCTGGTGTCAGTACCCCATTTGGTGGTGCTATATGATAGGGTCTCTCGACTGGTTGACATGACTCGACATTTATGTAATCAAGGGGGTGATATGACACAGCAGAGGACGAAGGAGTAGGGGCGGGTGGGGGGAGGGGTGGGGTCAGGGTGGGGGTGGCATGTGGAGGGGGTGCTCAACTGTTTGGATGTTAACTGGCACGACTACCGTCATGTCATACCAACGTTGGGGGAGTGGGGGTCAGGAGATCTCCGGAAACAGGTTAACATCCTGTGAGAGAGCCCGCTTTGAAGTGTTTGGGGTGGGGGTGTGAGGAGAAAATTCCGGGGGTGGGGTTGGAGTCGCAATCGGGGACGATATTGTGAAAGTGGATCGCAGGAGGGTGGGTTGAACGACTATAACGATTTTAATATTTTTTTTGTAAGGTTCATTTTAACAGAAATTTGGTGGGTGGGTAGGTCGCGAGGATTACCTCGGTGGTCGGATGGGAGAGGTGGGGAGAGGTGGGGTGGGTACTGGTACAGAGATGGCTTCGGTAGCAAGATTGGTATTCCGGGAGGGAGGGTCACTACCCCACGGCTTTGCTTTGTTAAAATGTACCGGTTGTGAGAGGGTGAGGTGGTACCAGACAGGTTGTGTTCCAGGAGGGGTGGTTGGACAAATGACCAAGAGATTGGAAGGGGGTGAGGGTTTGTGAAAGTGAAGATCTGCTGTATATGAGGGGGTATACGAAAGTAAAATTGGGGGTACACCAAGGTTTTAATCATGAGGGGTGGGTAGGGGGTGGGTGGGGCAAAGGTTGCATATCAACAAACATTCCTCCTCGGGGAACTTTCAAGAGGAAGGCTCGGATATCCTGCTCACCTGTCGTGTACCTCTCCTACCTCTCTCCTCCTTTCAGCGCTCTTCTGTACATCCCGCTTCCTCTACCTACAACCTTGCTCTACAAGCTCGCTTCTCCAACCTCCCTTTGTTTCCTTATTCTTGTACTTTAACACACCGCGATCAAGCAGAAGCCACTTGAAAAAAAGATCCACGACGAAATGACGCGTGAAAACTCCGATAGAGATTCTTCCTCAATCGAGGAGGTACAGTGGACTGCTTGCCATGGCAAGAAGAGAAAGTCGGTGTCGGAAGAACTCGATCAGAAGCGGAAGCGTCCCTGCCGAAATGAGCTACGAACGCTGGTCGAGGACGGGTCCAGGGATTATCGGTCATTCAGATCTTACCTCGTCGACCGCTATGTAATGACCGGTATTGCGGGTGGTCCATTGACCAAGACGCGATTCTTAGGGATCCGGGATATCTATGAGGTATTTCAAGTTTTTCTGTGATGGATGGAATGCTGACGCAAATCCTGCAGTTGATGTGCATGTATCAAGTTCCTATCTCGAGCGATACCACGGCCTACGCTGTGCGCTACTACGACATCTGTCTTGTCAGTGACGAGCTGAAGGACGAGGCAAAGGTGTCTCCAGAGCTGGCTCTCTCTTGCGGCTTGCTGGCGATGAAGTACATGGAGGTCTCGATCCCACTGGTAAAGGACGTGTGCAATGTGTTCACCCAAGTCGATGCAGCAAAAATCAGTGCAATGGAAGCGACTATCCTTGCGGCACTGGATTTTGACATCTCTTTCGTTACTGTATCTCAGATCCTGGGCTCCCTCGTCGAGACCTTGTCTCTCAACCATCAGGCTTTGGTTTCGGCGATGGTTTCAGATTATCTGGAAGTCAGTCACCTTTCCATGTGTGCAACCTCTCCTGTCACCATGGCTATTGCAATCCTTCACATGGTCCAATCCCGTCTGCTGTTGGCTGCTGAGTCCGATTGGTCAGACTTTTATGTTCCCACTCTTCGAGTCATCAAGGATGAAATAGCGCTCATGTGCAAAGAGGAACTTGGCCGTCCTGCGCAGGCCAACAAGCTTTCAGAGTCTTTGCGCTTTTATTTTGATCAGTTCTCGATCGAAGAAGTTGGAGATGACGGAGTCTCTCGCCTTGTGCTAGCTCCCAACTGGTGGCAAGCCATTTGCTGAACAACTTCAGAAGGTTCTGGTGATTGCATTTTTAGACGTATTTTTTCTCTCGGTATTTTTTCTAGCTTTCTTTCAGTTTTCCCTGTTATTTGTTTTCACTGAAGTGATAAATCCTGTGACATAATTGCCTGCTGGGCTCTTGTGAAAAACTTCACATCTTCTACTAGCTGAGGATGATACAACCCATTGATGTTGCGAACCCTCACCCAGAAAAAAAAAAAACTTCACCTAGCCATGCAGCTAGCAGCAGTCCTATTTTCTCTGGTCTGGAAACATTCTGGTTACCCCACCACTCCGGTCAACCATCATCCCGATGTTTGTGCTCCCTCCCTCCTTCCTCTACCTTCCGCCCCTTGCTCCAGCCCTTGCTCTGCCCCCTGCTTCTGCCCTTCCTTCCTCCTCCTTCACTTAAGTATCCTCCATTTTCACTCCACTGTTGAACTACCTCGTCTCTGCTGTCTCCACTGTTGAACTACCTCATCTCTGCTGTGCCTTGAACATTATCTATGGCGCCCTATGTTTCACCCGGCCTTGCGAACGGAAGGAATGTGGAGCGTGGGCAAGAGTTCAACATGCAATGAGGTGGATCGGGGAGATGGAATGAGAATGATAGACAAGAGATGGTCCAGAGCAGGACAGAAGAGGTGGACTGAGCTAGGAACAAGTTGATGGCCCACCAGATGGTGAAGAGCTTGAAGGAAAGGTTGAATGCACGAGTAGCGCAGGGAAAGGAGGAGCGTACACGGCAGTAGAGACAGGAGTAGGAGGAAGTAGACTATGTCAGATCAAGCTTAATCTTCGTGCCACCTACTTCCTCTGTCCCCTCGTGAACCTAGTTGCTGTTTGCATGTCACCACAGTGATTGACGGGGAGGCAGGGGCAGGGACTGACAATGGGGCGAGGATCGGAGTGAGCTACAGTTACTCTCGTACGTCAGCAGGTAAGCTCTCCTGGTTGCTCCTATCCTGTCGGGAATGCGGTGAGATTCTGAGGTTGTTTTTCTCTGAGTGAATAACAGGGCGAGGACCATGCATTTGATTCGCAAGGCTGCATTGCTTTCAGGTATCAGACACGTTGTCGTCTTCAATCGTGCTGTCCTACTACAACCATCTAGAAAGCGAGTTGGCGTACAGGGGAACGCTGCTAGATATCTCCATCAGTCACGATGGGCCTGTTTCTCAGCCACGGGCGATCATGATGATGTTCGGAAGGTGGAGATTGGAGATGTTCAGATGAATGTCGGGGTTCCTATCAACCCCCACCTTGTCCCTGTCAACTTTGGGAAAGCAGAGGAGGAGGACGAAGAGACGCTACATCATCTCCGATGGATGCTGCAGAAGTTTCAGCTCGGACAGGTAGGTGTTCCCTCCCACAGCTCCTTACCTGACGGCTGTTGTCCAGGACATGTTCCTCATCGGAGGCCCGGGGCCCCGGCGACGCCGCCTAGCCCTTCACTTCTGCGAGGTAGTGGGGATGGAAGCAGAGTTCTTGAGGATCACAAGGGACACGACGGAATCAGATCTCAAGACCCGCCGGGAGATCTCAGGAGGGACAGCGAGCTGGCACGATCAAGCTCCAGTTCGGGCAGCGATCCATGGCCGCGTGCTGATCCTCGACGGCATTGAACGAGCAGAGAGGAATGTCCTGCCAACCCTCAACAACCTGCTGGAGAACCGAGAGATGAGCCTGGACGACGGCAGGTTCTTGATGCGAGCTGCACGCTACGACGCCTTGAAGGAGGAGGGGGCTGACCTGGCGGGGTCGAAGATGATTCGAGTCCACCCAAGATTCTGCGTGATAGCCCTGGGGCTTCCCATCCCCAGATACCGTGGGTACCCGCTGGATCCTCCCCTCCGCAGCCGCTTCCAGGCACGAGCGATCGACCCGTTCTCGGTGGAGGGAGTAGTGGAAGGAGTGGAGCTGCGGGGGGCGGGGGATGCGGCGGTGATGCAGAAGCGGGTCAATGCTCTGCTGTCATTTGCGCAGACCGTCAATCTCCTCCGGGCCGAGGACGCGGACGTGACGCAACTTGAGCTCAACGAGGCCTCGCTGAGCGCCATCGTGAAGCACATGGTGAAGTTTCAGGGGAGCGACGTGGGCAATGTCGTGAGGAGGTACCTGCCCTACATTTTGGCGCGGACGACGGCGGGGAGGAGGAGCGGGAAGTCGGAGGAGGAGGGAGAGATGGAGCCGAGCAAGTACAGGATCAGCAAACTGCTCAAGGAGTTCAAACTGTCGGGGGAGGCGGCGGGGACGTCGACGTTTGGATCCTATGTGGTGAAAGGGATTGCTCCGTGTGCTGAGGACAAGATTATTGTCTCTTTTGCCAACACGCAGGCAGGCAAGAACGAGGTGGTCGAGATAGAGACATGGGGAGCCCCACACTGTAGTCCCTCTTCTCTCTCCTCCTCCTCCTCCTCCTCCTCCTCCCAGCCTCTGTTGAGCGAGAAGAAAGTTTTCATCGAGACGGAGGCGACCAGGAGGATCTTTGCGGACGTCTTGCAGGACTTGGCGCTGGGAGCGAATCCTTGCGTCGTCGGAGAGAAGGGGACGGGGAAGAGCGCGCTTGTTCTGCGGGTCAGCAACGCCATGGGCTACGGGGACAGGAGGAAGATCATTCACCTGTACAAGGACATGAGCGCTCGAGACCTCCTTGTTCGCAGAAGCACCAACTCCAAGGGCGACACGAGCTGGGAGCTGGCTCCCCTCCTGCAGGCGGCCCAGCAGGGGGAGATGGCGATCCTCGACGGGGTCCACCGGATACCTCCTGAGACGCTAGCGGTGCTGGAGCCCCTGATGCAGGACCGGATGATCTCCCTGCCCAACGGCTGGCAGCTGCTGAGGAGCGACCGATGGGAGGCGATCATGGAGGAGCAGGGGCTGGGTGAGGACGAGATGCATGCCCTTGGCCTCCTTCGCGTTCATCCCTCCTTCCGTGTCGTTGCCATCGCGGCCCCCCCGTCAGCCGAGCACGACTGGCTCACGACGGAGAACGCGTCCATGTTCTCCTTCCACCGTCTGGAGCCGCTGGAGGAGGAGGTGAACGAAGCGGTTTTGCGTGAGATGTTCCCCGATGCTGCTCCCGAGCTCGTTCACGCAGCCGCTGCCATGGCGAGGGAGTTTGAAAAGCTCAAGGGGGAGCCTGTGCTCGAGGGCAGCTCCATCTCTCTCTCCCTCCGCCAGCTCATTCGCATCGTCCGCCGCTCGAGCTCGTACCCTCAAGACTTCGTTCCTGCGCTGGAGAGGAGCATGATGATGCCGTTTCTCCCGCACTCAATCCAAGAGTCTGTCCTGCGCGTTATCTCCAAGGTCACTTCCTCCGTCCCGCTCCTGAGCCCGCAGAGCTCGGGAGGAGGAGGAGGAGGAGACTTCGAGCTGCAGGTGGGTGAGGAGAGGGTGAAGATCGGCGAGGTGGAGATGGAGCGAGGAGAGCCGAGGACTAGGTCGCTGGTGCCGGACGTTGTCTTCCACGACATCCCCCAGCACAGGAGGATCCTGCAGGACCTGATGAAGGATCTGATCAGCGGGGAGAAGCACATCCTGCTCATCGGGAACCAGGGGTGGGGAAGAACAAGATCGTGGACAGGCTGCTGGGTCTACTTCGGCTTGAGGTGTGGAGGAAGGAGGAGGGGGAGAGGAATGGGACAGGAAGAGGGGGAGGAAGAGGACGAGGACGAGAGCTGGAAGGAAAGGTGTAAGGTGCCAGGTGAAAGAGTGCGAGGAAGGGAGAAACAAGATAGAGGTGGCTGATGAACGGGAGAGGAAGAGGGGGATATGAATGAGATGCTGAGCGAGCAGAGTAGAGAAGGACGTAACGGGGGTAGGAAGAGTGGGTGGAGCGGGAGCGGGAGCGGGAGCAGGAGCAGGAGCAGGAGCAGGAGCAGGACATGGGACAGAGAGAGGAGGAGGAGACGCTGACAGTGGGAGCAGAGGGAGTACATCCAACTACATCGAGACACGACAGTCCAGTCGCTGACTGTCTCCATCTCGCTGGAGGGAGGGATCATCACTCACGGAGACGCTCCCCTTGTCCGGGCATGCAGGTCAGCTGAGGCGCTACTGGACACATTGATAGGCTATTGCTCCTCCTCTTTGTTGTGCTGCTCATGCTGCATCTTCCTCACTGTCATCGTCCTGTTGATGTTGCGATGGATAGCTTTTGTTTGGATTCTTCATCATCATCATCAACAACAACATCAATCATCATCATCAATCATCACCAATCAACATCACCATCATCATAACAATCATCACAACCAACAACAACATCATCAACAACTTCAACTTCAACAACTCACATCTTGCCCCCCCCCCCGCAGGGAAGGTCGCGTCATCATGATCGACGAGGCCGACAAGGCTCCCCTCGAAGTCGTCTGCATCCTCAAGGGTCTCCTGGAGGACGGCAGCATGATCCTCAGTGACGGGAGGAGGCTGGAGCGCAACGGGGGGAGGGAGCGGGAGGGGAATGGGGGAGGAGCGGGAGGGGTTGTCATACCCATCCATCCCAACTTTCGCGCCATCGTCCTCGCTAACAGGCCAGGCTTTCCTTTCCTAGGCAACGATTTCTTTCATGAGTGCGGGGATATCTTCTCCTGCCACGTGAGGCCGCTCCCGCCTCCCCGCTCCTGCTCTTTGAATGCTGTCTCCTCCTGCTCCTCTACCTCTACCTCTACCTCTACCTCTACCTCTACCTCTACCTCTTCCTCCTCCTCCTCCTCCTCCTCCTCCTCCTCCTCCTCCTTTGCATTCCCTCCACAACTTCCTTTCCCCCTCTCCTCATCTCCCTCGTCTTCTCTCCGTCTCTCCTCCTCTCCCTTCCTCACTCTCCTTACCCAGGTGATCGACAACCCGGACCGAGACTCCGAGCTTGCTCTGCTCCGACACTACGGGCCTGACGTCGACGAGGTTCTCCTCCGCAAGCTCGTCTCCATCTTCAGCGATCTCAGGCGCGCCATCGAGGAGGGCAAGCTCTCCTACCCCTACAGCACCCGCGAACTTGTTAACCTCGTCGTCCACCTCCAGCGCTACCCCGATGACCCTGTCAACTCCGTGCTTGACAACGTGCTCTCGTTTGACAAGCATGACAAGCTGGCCCTCCTCGCCGTCAAGAGGATCATCGAGAGCCATGGCATACCCGTCAGTGCAGCTGGGGACAAGGCGGTTAGGCTCGGGGAGGAGCGGCCGCTTCCAGAGCTCCGGCCGCTAGCGAGTTGGCATGCAGAGGGGAAGGCGATCAGCAGCAGCGTGCGAGCCAAGTCGATGGACTTGCATGACTTCTCTGTAGTCAGGGATCAGCTCTCCTCCTCCACCACCACAGCCCACGAGCGGCTCACTAGCTTCTCGGAGAGGCTTTGGACCTGGTCCCTTCCCTCCAAGGCCGGCAGCGCGTTTGCTGTCTGCTCCTCCTCCGATGGGGCCGTCCATGTGCTCTGCGCGCCGCTGGTGATCTACACATTCCTTCCTCCTGACTTCGTCTCCTTCTACCGCTTCGACCTCTCCGACTTCATCAGCCTCCTCAGCTCGCTCGGCTCCAGCATGCGCATGTATCCCCTCCCTGCCCTCGGGTCTGTGGCCCTTCTGAACCTCCGCGGTGACCTCGTCCTCCTCCTCGACCACAAGACTCCCAAGGTGATGGTTTGCAAGATCCCCAAGGTCAAGGGTCCCTCCTCCTCGTCCTCCTCCTCGGAGCAGGAAGACCAGGTGAGCTGGTCCAACTTCTTTGAGGGCAAGAGGGGGGGCGACGGGAAGCAGAGCAAGACGGTCTGCAAGGTGGTACCTGGGGGACACTCGCTCCTCCTATACACGGTTGGCAGCGACTCGTTCCTCGTCCTCGACTTCCAGGAAAGGACGAGCTTCTCAGTCCAGCTGCCCTCGGGTATGAGGATCAATGAGCTGTTCCCCATGCAGAGCAGCCACTGGATCCTGCGGGACGACAATGGGAACGTCTTGTACGGTGATCTCAGCGGCCTGACGGGCAAGGAGCGGCAGGGCGAGCTGCTGTGGATGCCGATCGTGGAAGAGGCGGAAGGGGAGAAGGAAGTTCAGACCAGCGGGGTAGCAAAATCCATCAGGTCCGCTGAGTCGTGCCAGAGGAAGGTGGGGGAGGAGGAGCAGAACAGGCTCGTGCTCGCATGCGACAGGTCCTTTGCGACGATCTCGGATCGCCCGCTCTCCTCCGTCGACTTCCACACTCCCTCCTTGGGGTTCATCGGGGTTGGTGGCGACCACAGCATGCAGCTGCTGTCCTCTCCTCGTGAGGACGGCTCGCAGCCGCAGCAGGAGCTGGGCCCGCTGGTGATCCTCAGCAACGGCAACATCGTGTCCTACAGGGAGGACCCCAAGGTCGGGGCGCACCTGGAGGTGGTGGATGCGTTCAGGAGAAGGGTAAAGACAATTCGTCTGCAGCCCAGCTCGCAGGAGGAGGAAGGGAAGGAGAGGAGGAAGGAGGTGGTGGAGCTAATATCGAGGATGGAGGGGGAGGGAGACCTTGTGACGGTGGGAACAGTGACGGAGGGACGAAGGTCGGAGCAGCGGGTTACCATCTGGAAGGTCTCTGCAGAGGAGCTGCAGCTCGAGCTGGCGCAGTGGCGCAAGCTGATGGGGCTGGGCAGAAGAGGAGAGGGGGAGGGAGGAGGAAAGATCCGGCTCACCAGGAACTGGGACAAAAAGCAGCAGGCGTCGGGCCCCAAGCACGGGAAGGCGCCGGACGGGAAGAGACATGCGGGGGGTAACACCTGGGCAGGAGGGACAGGAGGGCGGGATACGGCTGGCCTGGGAGGGAAGGGAGGACCGTACCGGCTGGACCTCGACGACGGGAACGAAATCATGCAGATCTCGGACGAGGAGAAGCAGAACATCAGCGAGGAGGCGAAGGAGGCGGCGAGGAAGATGGGGCAGGAGGAGCTGCAGAAGACGCTGAAGCAGATCGGGATGAGCGAATTCGAATCGGCAGCCTACGACAAGTTCCTCCAGCCGGTGGAGCATGACATCCGCCACATGCGCCTCCTCCTCGAGCGCGTGGAGGCTCGTCAGAAGGAGCGGGAGTGGCTGAAGCTGCAGCCCTTTGGCGAGCTCGACGACTCCCGGCTCATCGACGGAGTGGTAGGGGAGAGGCTGGTTTACCGGAGGAGGGGGGACAAGGCCCCCGAGCCCGGCTCCCCCCAGAAGCTCCCGAAGCGCTTCATGTTCGTGCTCGACGTAAGCGCGAGCATGTACAGGTTCAACTCCTGGGACCGCCGGCTCGAGCGCTGCTGCCAGATGGTGACGATGCTGATGGAGGCCCTGCACGGCTTCCAGCACAAGATCAGCTGGAGTGTAGTCGGTCACTCGGGGGACGGGCCCGACCACCGGCTGATCGAGTTTGACGAGCCTCCCACGGACAAGGCGCAACGGCTGAGGATCGTCCAGACCATGTGGGCCCACGCGCAGTACTGCTACACGGGGGATCACACGCTTGCAGCGACTCAGATGGCAATGGAGGAGGTGAAGGAGCAGGGGAGGGGGGTGGGGGGGAGGGGCTGGAGGGGCAACGAAAGAGATAGAGAAAGCCAAGGTGGAAGGGGAGGAGGAGAAGGAGGAGGAAGAGGAGGAGGAGCATTTGGAGGTCATGGTGGTGCAGGAGGAGGAGGAGGAGAAGGAGGAGGAAGAGGAGGAGGAGGAGGAGGAGGAGGAGGAGGAGGAGGAAGATCATGTTTTCGTGACTTGGTTCG